TGCTGCTTAAAATCATGGCATAACTTTCTCCCAAGCCTCCAGAACACTGGAACTACAGAGAAGAAGAAAGAGTAAGGTAGTTCCCTTCTCCTGACTGGCAACTATTATAACTTAGATTACTGAAATACTAAACCGTGAGTGTAACCCAGCTATTAAGATACTAAGGACAAAGGAAAAAGACCTAGTGTTTTGAGAACTTTATTTTTAATTGCTATTTAGGATATTTTTAAAGAGACTATCCAATGGCACTGAGCCCTCTGAAATATCAAACCACTTTTCAGTGTCTTACGTGCATCCAAAATCTGTAGTACTGCCTAGCGATTAAGATATTGTGCCATTTACATTAACATTACGTTGTTCTTGGTACCCACATAATATTCTTACAGCATTTGACAAGGACTGTTTAAGAGTTAATAGCGCTGTGTAAGACCACTTCTCTGATCTGCAAACACAGTAAGATGCATTATCTTCAGAATTATGTTAGCTCTGGAGTTAACCACAGGATGAAGAGATGCCATCTCCGCAATGAACCTCATTTTAGCGCAAGGTAAACACACTTCCCCCCCCATCAGCCAGTCTCACAGCATTAGTGGTGCGTTGTGATTGATTACCAGCAGAGTGTTGCTGAGATATGGATTTGTATCTCAGCTTTTTATCACTATGACTTGCAAAAGGCAGTTCCTTATTTACAGACTCTACCTGTATTAAGTGACATTATTAGGTACTACTTTTGTTTAAGTGACACAAAGGCTTAGCATATTGGTGGTTTATGACATACAAGCTGTTTTAATCTGATGATTTACCCCTCACTTTTTCAATTTGTAAATAGGAGCTGCAGCACAAGAACATATGGTACTGAAGAAATTAAACCTAAAGTAAATGGCATTAAAGCAAATTCAAATATAACAAATAGGATACTCAATCTGAATTATAAACCTGGATCTGTATTAAGACTTTTAAAAACAGGAAATAAAAACCTAAATACGAAAATTAACCTTCCAGGTGTTTTTTTTAAAGACCATTTCAAGGGTTTACTGTGATTGAGTTATTTCCTTCGTTCCTTATTACTTAGATCTTATAGTTAAATGAATAAACAAGTAAAGATAGTTTTTAGTAACTGAAACTAGGTCTGAATACCACATTACTAAAAATTAGTTGTTTACCTTTTTAACTTTTGGGTTCATACCACATTGCTTCTGATACAGTAAAAATATGTTACGCATTCTTAAATGTTTGTTAAATATACTTGCTGATATCTATAAACGCCATCACTGAGCACGAAACCAAAAAAAGAGCCCAGCAAAACTGCCAGCCTAGTGCTCATAATCCATACCAAATATCAATAAAAAGTCAATGAAAAGAAAAACTACTTTTTCCTAGCTTTGTAATATTATAGCAGCTTATTCAAAAAAGGAATTTCATTACACATCTCATGTAAATAGGAAGATTTCCCTCATTATTATTCTGCAGATAAGCTCCAACCTCTAGCATATGAAGCATCACGTACCATAAAGGGTCCAAAGTAAAGACATTCCTTATGTACTTGAATTTTAATTTAAGCACATGCCTACTTCATACCAATCAATTTGATATGTGGGATTAGTCCCATCAGCTTGTAATGCAACAATGACTCTATCAAAGACAGTTTTTTGGTACAGCCTTATACTTGGTGCACTCTGACAAAAATAATTTCTCTCATATGATTTATTACTTCAGCTAAGTATAGCAGCAGAAGTATTTTTATACCACTATAAAGACTTCCACATACCTGCCATTGCTATACTGCATTTCTACTCAATTGAAATATCTCTTTGCAGAACGACTTATTCAACTTCTGCATGATTTTATTTTTCATTTTTATTATAGCTTGGAAAGTTGGTTTGTTGGTTTTGTTGTCTTGGTTTTTTTAATCTACAGGTATCTACTTCATTGTTTGCAGCAATAAAGTATCTCATCTGTGTAATTTTACAGAGAGCAAACTGTAAACAGAGTTCTCCATTCTTGTATCTATATATATAAGCCATTCTGAGAAGTATATTCATGAATGAAACGGGATTGGAAGCAGGATTTGATTTTAACATTCTATTAGGCTTCAGAATAACAACCATGTATGATAGTGCTTCCAAGCACAAAAATCCCTAACTTAAAATCTGTAAAATACACCACCACTAACCTTGACAGCGTCAGTGCAGACTAAGCACAATTCCTACCAACATGACTTTAAAAATTCTCCTTCTGGGGCAACAAGAAAGCAGCTGCTCAGAGGTGGTTTCACTCCCGGCTGTGTTGGGCTGCCATCACGGACATCTCCAGTAACTGGCTAACTCACAGTACCTAACCAGCAGCTGGCAAACGCCAGCAAAGAATGAAGCGAAGGTTCAAATACCTAATTCAGTAATATTCCTGGCATCTGATTCTTTGTATTTAGTGTACCGTAATAAGTTTGCAAACATGACAGTAACTATTCACCATCACTCCCCAGGAGAGGACTAACAGGAGGCAAGTTAGTCAAGGAAAGCTGAGCAGTTCACAGTAGTAACACCAAGAAATCCTCTGACCTTATGCACTTTGGAGTCACTGCATTCAAGTATCACTCAGACATTTCTCTTTTTAGAAAAAGCAGTTAGTAGCCTAATACAAACAACAAAATTCATGGCAATTTCTCGGCTTTGCTCACCTACAGAGTGCCTGCAATCCTACCTTCCTCTGGCAGGTAGGCACCCCAGGCAGCGCTGCCACCCGTCCGGGATCCTAGCCAATGCCATTCCTCAGTTTCAGCAATCTTTTTTTCAAAAACCCAACTCAGGTTAATTCTTCTCAAGGAGGTTACCAACAAAACAAATAGCCAGTTCTCTGTACATCTGCTGCTGCTATTTGCTTTGAAGAATTCTGTGTTTGAATTAAGGGAAAAAGTGCAGAGCACAGTGATTCACTAAAATAGGGAATCTGATTAGACAGTTACCTAAACACAGGCACATTTCCCTCCCCAGCAAGAACAATTTACTTAGTGAATAATCTAGTGTAAATCATGAGGATAAAGTGCAGATACCTACGTTGAGAATACACTTGTCTGTAAAGGAAGTGTCTCCTGAACAGATGGAAAGATCCACCTCTTCAACAACCACTAAAGACAGGAGGAAAACAGATACGCACTAACGAATGAAAGTGTTTCCATTTAGATCATTTCTCTCCCTAGATACAAGTTATGATGTAAGAACTAAGAAAGCTTGCATGTCATTTTGCTGTATTTCCACACATTAGCCTTTATGAAAAAAATGCACAGGAAATGGACTCTGCATCCCTCATCCTCTCATTCTCCTTACATTTATATTAAAATTGAAGACAAGAAATCTTACACCTAGGGCAGAAATTGTTCTGCTGGATATTCATTTGATTACCGCAGGGTTTCCAGAAAGGCTAAGTACATACCTTTCCTTAACTTCCTTTTCAAGACTCAGACAAGTGAGGAAGAAGATGCTCAGAGAAACTCAGTTTGCATCTTCTATCAGTGTACACAGAATTCAGGTTTCCATTACAGGTCATTCTGCTCTGGGAAATTCATATTTCATCTACATTGCTACTCCCACAGGAGCTAGATAATTTCTTCAACTTGGTAAGAAAGGTGGGTTGGGCTTTTTTGTTTGGTTTGTTTTTTTCCTTGGGTTAAACAGTAACACAGTTTTGATTTATGGAAAAACGAAATGCTCTGTCTTCCCCTTAAAAAAATTAACAGAGAATTAGTTCCTTCTTGTCTTGAGTGGCAGAAGCGTAAACAGAAGCTGTGATGGTACTGGCACTTGGTCAGAAAGGCAGATTAGAGGCAGGTGCCTGAGAACACCTCACCTCAACACTGGGGTGGGATTAACAACAAATTCAACCCCTCAGAACAGGGTATGAACAATATCCTTGCCTTCTGGTTCTAGGTCTTGACTAAATCCAGACACCGAATCTAGACACAATGTTGACAGGAACGTTGTCACTGATTTGAGTAAGGACAGACTCCACTTCATTGCTTAATACAAATGAAGCAACCGTACCTGAAGACATGCTGGTGAAGTCGGCTGTCGTTATTGTAGCTAAACTCTTAAAGGATTTATCTGTCATAAATGGTAGCTGGCTGCAAGGGCTGTTCCATAAAATCCTTTACCTTCACAGCACAGGACTTTAGCTACAGGCCAGACAGTAATTCTTCTTAGGCTAACTGTGAGAACGAAGCAGCTATGACACGGCAACAGACTATCTTTATTTTAAGATGCAAAACACCTGTGCGAAAGCTGCTGTCTCCACAAGGTGCTGAACAGAGGTAATGCTCAAACATGCTTTTGGGAAAAAACCCTGCATTTTTCTGTGATCATGATTTCTGATTATTTTCTAATGATAGCCTAAAAAAAAACGTTGCTGGAAACATTTTGTCACAAATCTTTCCAAACTTCTGTTGAGTCTGTCTGCACAAGGACAAGCAAGCATTAAGAATATTTTTTTCCTTTCTGTTTCATCTCATTACCTGACTTTTTAGACAGGTTAGGAAAATCATACTTTTCCAACTGCACTCAGAAAAGTTAAAATATTGTTACATTGAAATATAGAGATACACTAAAGTATAATTTTGAAAGCAAAATCCTCAAAGCTACTGCAGAGACAAAATAGTCACTTCTTAGTGTTTAAAATACAGATTTTCCTTAAGACAGAGCCCTTGAGTCTGCCATCTGCACTGCACTTTATGCAGAGAATTTTAGAGTATTCTCCCAGGGAAGAGACCTAAGCAAAGGGCAGAGCAAAAATATCATCTGCCTACACTTCCTACAGAGACAAAAGACACCAAAAAGACAGCTTGCCATAAACAGTGTTTACAACATTTTACTGTACATACAGGAGAAGAAAGAATAATTTATGAATGTCATACTTTACGATTTATGATACTCGAATATTGCAAATCCTTTACAGACTACCAGGCCTACTTAAGTAATCATTAATTTACAAAGCAAGAAACTAATACTTACATAGCTGTGACTCTTAAGGAAATCTGAAGGGTTGCTTGTGCAGACTTTATCCCCTTCCAAGCCAATTACTCTTTTACAGATATTTGATTTGGGGTCATTTGGGCTTTTCACAATTACAATATCTCCTCTGAGAGGAAAAAACAGAAACAAAAACAAACAGAAGAACTCTAAGTACGAACTATTTGGCTGAATACATGTGCATCAGTGTGTATACTCCAAAAATATTCACGTATATTAAAGATACTTCCTTCTCCTGAAAATTGTCTACAATTTTGTTTCTTCAGTTTTACCCAGGGTGTAATTTTACACACAGTTTTTTAAGTACATTTGGAGAGATTCTTTGTTATTTAGATCATTTATAAGACATTTAAGACTACATTTTCATTGACAATGCTCTGATGAAATTAATGCAATTTAACTTGATCCTGTTGCTACGTATATATGGAACAAAACAGATGCTGTATTCCTAAATGTTATTGTCCAAGTGTTATTCTTCCAGTCAAACTTCAAATGTCTAATCTGAGTTTGTAAGACTTTATACTACTTTTGCCTCCTGATTATACACATTAGATTGTACGGTGAAACAGTCCACAAAGCAGGCGAGGGCCTTGAGCCTACTGTGCTCTACAACATAGTAATAAAGTGACATTTGATAAACGGTACTTACACCATTTGATGACTTTCCTAACCACCTATCTGAGCACAGCAATACCTGCAGCTTGGCTTGCAAAGTAAGACAAAACTGCTCAGAGATGGGAAGTTACATTCACACAATGGAACTGTTCTTGGAAAAGAAAGAAAATGGGATTTTTTTCCCTTTTTTGGACAAAGCTGTAAAAGTGATATGGACTATATCCTAAATTAATTCTGCCAAGTTGTGTGATGGACTGTATGTGCTGATTACTTTAGCTTCCATCAGACACAATGAGGGGAGATTTATGAAAAATTACAATTTAGAAGCAGAAGAATATATGGGAAAAAAAGGATGGACAGAATGCAGTTATTGACAAGCTCTGGCAAACTGAATGTAAAGTCTAGTCTCAACAAAGGAGCATACTTTCGAATGCAATAAAAGTGGCGGCTAAGGTTCTCCGAAAAGACAATATCAGAATTTTGAATGGTTGGTTCCATTGAAGGTCCAGAACACTGCAAATTAAAAATAAATGAGAAAAAATTACTATTTCCAATTACTTTTATCTAAAATACATTAATATTCAAATTATTTGCTAATAAATTAGAAAAGGTGTAATGTAAGGAACAACTAAAGAAGTGATCTCCTCCAGGGAACATCCGATACATGTAAAAGGTGAGGACAGCCTCCCGAGCACCTCTACCTCTGTTACAGTTCTGTATTTGCTCAGGATTGGTCCTGAACTACTCTAGGTGCTATGAGCCCCTCCCGCCCCCCAGGTTCATTGCAGCACCTAATTCTGCAGGAAATTACTAGAAGCGGCACTCGAAGCTCTGCCAGCTTACCCCCTTCTGCAGCCTCTGCAAAAGAGAATCATCACAGAAGCTGCAAGAGCAGCTCACAGCCAAAATTCACGAAGTCCAGCAGCAGTACCTGCTAGGTCTGGGAACAGGGAGGAGGGGAGGCAGCATAAAACATCCAGAAATCTGCCCAGAGTTAGAAACGTGCATTTCCTACGGCATTGCTGGTGACTGCAGTCTTTCTGGAAGAACGTACTCCCTGCAAAGTGCTTAATCATAGTTTCCCATTTGCTCCAGTCATGCCTCAAGTAATAACTTAGCAAAAAATACAAACACCTAAAGTAGAAATAACTTTCATAAAGGCTGGACCTGCCTCCAAAAAAAAAGGGGGGGCATTTACTAAACACCCTTTGAAAAAGCTTTAAAAAGAAAAGGAAGAAATTTGAAATATTGGCATTATCACACATAACAATTTCAGTATTATAGTTTTATTTTCTTTTAAATGTCATGAAAATGAAAAGTTACCACAACAATTCCTCCAAGGTACTCAAAGGCACAATGCGCTATGCAGCCATATTGCACAGTATACCCAAGAAATCGAAAGGTTTTTCCTAGGACATTGCGAAGCATGGTACAGTGTTACGTCGTTCAGCTGGTTCTAGTCTACAGCAAAACAGAAGAATAGAATTCATTTGATAACAAACCACCTGACATTTACAAAACTATCATCTTTTGTATCTAACAACTGATGGACAATATTTTTTAAAAAAACAGTGAGTAAAACCAACAAAAACACGGATATATCTGAGGAGATGAACATAGTTTAAACTGAAATGCCATTAAGAAGTGTTTAGTTTACTATACAGACACTTCCACATGTACAATCAATTGACCACTCTCACCAGCTTCTTAAGATCCAGTTGAGTAGGAGCTGAAACAAAAAAAACCCACCCTTTGCCATCCTAGAAAAATAAAGGGGAGAGAATTATGTCAATGCTCTCCGCTCACTCAGCTGGGCTTTTTACTCGAGCCTGCAGCCAGGCTTACCTGCCACGTGTCTAAATATCTGCGAGAGCTACGAAAACACCCTCCCTTCCACTAGGCTTGGCTGAATGGAACCTGGAAAGCTGCAATCATACCTTTAACGCAGGCTTTGACTTCCTGACTGGACCACCTATTGTAACTGAGATGCAGTTATTTATTAAGTAACACTTGACAGAGTTGTTTTAATCATGTGAAGACAGTGCAACTTAAATGACTTTTTTCTACAAGCACTAGTATTTAAAACTGAACACGCAACAGCAAAACAGAGAAGCATCAAACCATCTGAAGTGATTTGAAGATATTTCACAACTGAAATTACATTCACTGAAAACTAGAGTAATCAAGTAGTCAACCAAAATTTTAAAAGCAACTTGACAATCAATCAAATGAAAATTGGCTTGAAGAACTAGACAAAATTAAAGATAATGGAGTCATCAAGGGCTTGCCTAAATATGACTAGAAAAAGAATACAGTTGTTGATAGGAATGATGGAGGTTTTGCAAAGCTTTCCTTTGACTAGACTTTCATTACCAAAGCACCTGCATATAAAAATAAGGCATTAAGTATTTTTGTTCTCAGCTACAGTACAGTGGCATAAGTTCTGTAGCACATAAAGGGACCCTGTAAATATCTTCTGATCCCCTTTCCCAAACCTTTAAGTCAAACTGATGACTAATTGCAACATTAATCTAACAAATGACACATACCGAATAGCACACATACTGAAGTAACTGAAGCAAGTCTTACATTCTGCAAGAAACCTGTTCCCCTTATTCTCAGTACCAGCTTTACCATGAATTAAAACCACAGCAAGATTTCCCTCATTTGCTAAGCAAATGCAGTAAGTTAAAGAGAAAGAAAAAGGAAAAATGCTGTGTGTACAATATGGCCTACTTAATAATGAAGTAAAGACCTCCGCGCCGATATTTGATGATGCTTTGCTATTTAAATGCAGGCATTTAAGAATGCATAGCTTTACTTGCACAACTCTCTAGAACTTAATGGGAATTTTGCCTGAATACAGTCAAAAGTGGCTTTTGTTCTTTGCAGCTAGTATTTATTTATAAAGAAAAAAAGAAGGCCAGTCTTGGGGGAAAATGTTCTCTACCAAGCTCATTTCCTTGTTTCAAAAAAGACATACTTGCCTTTTTTTTTTTTTTTTTTTTTTAAAAAAATCTCCAGAATAAATCCACTTAAACCAATCCTTAGTATTAGCTAACCAGTTTCACAGTAATGAACCAAAACACAACAGAAAACAGGAAAGTCTTGAATTGTTTCATTAGCACACGCAGTGCCCAGCGCACTGCAGGACACCCCGTAGGAACTGAAACAGCTTCGCTATAAGAGAAATACACTTTCAGCAGAATTTGTTCTGGAGAGCCAGAAAAATGGTTTGCTCTTCTCAACCCAGTATGCTATGAAAAGCACGGACCACGCCCTTGCTCTCAGGGACAGAAACACCATGAGCCCAGAAACGTGTTCCAGGTGATAAAAGGTAAAGTGGCAGCAGATACTTAGCGTTGCACAACTAGCGTGAATTAATGACCACAACTATCTTTTGCAAGAAGTACATCATCAATGCTCCTTAACAGCACCTGCTCGAAAGGCAGCCTCACATTGCTTCTCAGGCAGAAAAATACTGCACAACCACCCCGTATTTCAGATCCATGCTATTCAGAAATGTTGTATTAATATGTTAAGACAGTATAGAATTCAGGCACCTGTGGATATTACAGGTAAAAAGGCATTGTATAAACATGGTGTTACACTGACCAAAGCAGATCTTCTTGATTGCACAAAATGGAATGGTAACAGACTCATTAAGAGAAAAAGGAAACTTGTCATGCCAACAGCTATCAGGCTATAACTAAAATATTTTTTTATTATGAAGCTACAAACAACTGCTACATGTCTCTGAAAATCAGTTTCAATCTGATTTCCTGTCGGACTCTGGGTGACACGTGCCTCCCAATAGTTCCACTGAACACACACATTTCTCTCTGATGTCCCCAAGTAACTCTGAATTAGGAGGGAGAGATTTGTAAATTATTCAAGGAAGCACAGGGTTCAGAGTGAGCTTTGCCTACTGCTAGAGCTGTCAAGGTATAACACAAGGATAGAACATGAATGAAGAGGTCCCAAATTTTGTTCCCAGTTCTTTTAAAATAAATTCTTAACCCCCAAGACATGGATTTCACCAGTCCCGTTTTATAAGTATGGCACAATGGATTTTTTAAAATGCTCAGGCTTATCAGATGTTCATGATAATGATGAAAAAAGTTTTTATATATGGCTACTCAAGAAAGTTAATTATTACTACTCAAGAAAGTTAATTTCAAATTAAGGCACATATATAGTACCTAGATTATACACAGTTTGAACCTAACACGATAACTTCAGAGGATTGGGGGGTTTGTTTTTAACGTTAAGGTCCATCTTGAGACATCCAATATTCATTCCATACAATAACCACAATCCTGAAAGCTTCCACGTAATTTTAAATAACAACTTCTAGTTAGTAAGTGAATGGTTGTAGTAAGAGTAAGCCCAGACAAAAAAAAACCCCACAACTCTAGTTTATTAAAAAAACCTCCACAGAATATTTATCTTACAATTGCTCTAGCATCAGTAAAGTACAATAGTTTCCTCAGAAAACTATTTATCAGTACATTTTGAAACAACACCATACTGTTGATCGCAAGACAGTAAATGGAACAACTTTTTTTCCACGACACAATTAATTTTAATACAAAGTGCTGTCAGCAGGCAACTCCACCAGATACAGCACAAGACCATTAAGCACAATAAAACAAATTATTTAAGTCACAGGCCCCTTGAAAACTTAATGGAGCTGTTGTATAAACATCCTTATCACAGAACTAGCGGCATAAAACCTGTTGTAATTACTTCCAGGTACTACCTACTGTCATATAGCAGGTAGCTGAAAATTTTATAGCAAAATAGACATTGTTTTTATACAGAACATAGACATTAATTAAAAAAGGTTACACATCCATATTTATCACACAGAATACAATTTGGTTATTTTACAAGAACTGTATAGTTTATCCCCTGCAGCAAATAAAATGCAAAAGGTAATTACTATTATCTTCTGTTCCCTTTTCTCTACATAGCCTATGCCTTCATCATTTGATTTTTTTTTTTTTTGTTTGTTTATAAAATTAATCACAGCTAGCAGGGTGGAAATCGCTTTGAGCCTCATGAATGACATCCAAGAGATGGGAAAGGATTAGTTCTCAGTTGCTGCCAGTTATAGCGCCAGGTGGCTTTTTCTGCAGTGAAGGTGTTACCGATAATCCCATTACATTGGTACTAAATCTTGCAGACATCAAAATTATCACCAAGGTTCCTTTTCATCCCATCCTTTCCAAATGACTGGAAGTCGCTTCACCTGAAAGAAGTCAAATCCACATGCAGCTGCTGTTTTAGCAGCCAGCGGACTCCCTGAGAATGCCAATCGTGATCCAATTTCGCTGTGCTGGTGGCCCCCTATTCCCTGTCCAATAATACATCTGTTAAAAAATCCTACAGCTACAAATCAAGTTTAATCCTACCAGGGACCTCATGTTGGTCTTGTCTTCCAAAAAGGCAGCAGGTTTTGCCGTCTATCTCTGCTAGTGTCTGGGGAATACTCTTTAAATCCCAGCCCTACTTAGAAGAATAAGCTAAGGATCACAAAACATGACCTCAAAAACCCTGATATGACTATATTCTGACCCAGAGGCATTCATTCTAGGTGAAGATTAGAACTTTGCATAATAAGATTACACAGCAAGTGAATGATATCAAGGGACTATCCATATGCAGCCGCCTGGTTTTCTATAGACAGCCTGTGCTCTGCAATATGCAGTGCAGACGAAACAGAGCTTGGTCTTTCTAGCTGAAATAAAATAGATTCACATAAATTAGTTGGCCATTTCCAGATTCCTAAATCCCCTATTACATCTTTTATTGACAGCTCCTGTGAGGATAGCACAAATGGTGTTCTCTGCCTGTTCTTTGCTGCTCTAACAACCACGCTCTGAGGGAAATGGACATAGGTTGTCTAGAAATTAACATCTTGTTTGCTGTAATCTTGGATTACAATTAACTGTGTACATAATAAATTAGGAAGTTCAATGAGCAGATTTATCATTTCCAGATAACCAATGGCATTGTGTAAGACAGTTTAACATATAGCGCCAAAAATTTAAACACAGGAAAATCAAAGTCATAGCCAAAGGAAGCGTGGCTAAACAAATTATTGGACTTGATATTTCACTACAATAAAAAACTTCCAGTCACACTTGCTTTATATAATGCTTCCTACTTCTGAGTTTTCACTGAATATTTAGTGATAGTTTATCAGTTTTTCCTTAGCTAATGGAAATTACTCTCCTAACATTCTCCGCTTCTAACCAGACACCTTTCTTCACACAAGGTAATCCCATAATTTGCAACATCTCTTTCCTGAAGAGTTCCTCTAAGATTATTACTTTAAAAAAATCCCAAAACACAAAACAAAAAAACCTGCACACTGACTAGGCTATCTATATATTTATGTTTGAGCTGTTATTTACATTAATCTATTCTTTTAAAACTTCTGCATGAAATTAACCTTACATGTACTAGAATAGTGAAGGGTGTATATCATGTTTATCGGGAAAGACTCCGTATCAGATAGACAATGTAATTAATCTGTTTTAAATATTCTAATTATAATCTGAGGATTCCAAACATCTCAAGAAAAACAAGGAACAATTTTCAAAAGGTCTTTCTGAGCAGGGCGTCAGACAGAGCTTGATTTTTATTTCTAGCTGTTGGTTTTCTCTAGAAGAAACACTGGATTCAGTCTGGCAAATCTGAGAAAGCTTACTGATATTCTGGAAGAGAAGATTATTTTTCCACATTAACTCTACTAGGCACTGACAGTTTGTCTCCAACAAGTGCTCCTTCATGTACTGATCTCAAGCTGACAGGGAGCTCAATCCTGTAAACATACATTCACATAATGCAATCCTCTGGTGTTAAACAACTAGCAACTACCTACATAAGAACAAGCAATTTCTCAAAAGAGATTTCAAGTAGTTCTCACTGGTTCTATTCACCTTTGGGAAGCACCTCCTAACAACCCCACAACCCTGTATAAAATGCTGTATTAATGGTCAGACGCATTGCAGGGCTTCTGTCTTCCTCTGCAGCTCTATACGCTCATCTTTGCTGAACATCAAAATCCAAATAGCTGAACAGCAGCACGCTCATACATGGCAAGTTTGAGCCTCTGAGGGATGCTGAAATACTCACTTAACATTTCCTGTAACAATGGCAAAGTTAGAAAAAACGCCAAAGGTCTGACAAACAGCACAGCCACTTTCCCAGTGACTGAGAAAAATACGCCATGTCTATGTGACAAGGGTCAAATAACTATATACTGAGCCATATGCATTTATCTTAAATTTCAAAAAAATTCTCGAGCCAGACATGCAAACATTTCAAATTAATTTTAATTAACTAAGACAAAGAGTTACAAGTTCCATTTTCACATTAGGCACTTAAAATCTGTGACCCCCCAGAAACCAAAGTTGTCCATGGCTCACATGTCCCCTGCACTTCCCAGCGCTGACACACCTGTTTGCTCATATGAAAACAAAAACAACAACAAACAAAAAAAACACCACATAAAACAAAGAAACCTATTTACGTAAACCATCAGCAAGACTGTTTAGCAAGAAATACAAGTGTCTCAAGCTTATCCCCAGTGTTAGTCTCAGATTAGAATGCCATCATCAAGGAGTACTCCAGAGCAGTTTATGAACACAGTGTCACGCAGTATGAGACCTTAACACAAACAGTAAATCAAAGCTATTATTAAACATTTGAAAAATACAAAAGCAAAGAACAAGACCAGTTTTTGCACTGTCAGAAAATACAATTCTAACAAAGAATCTTTCTGTATGTTCTTCATCAGTACTTCCCAGTTAGAAGCATCACCTTTAACGAGGTATCTTATGCATACTCT